CCAGCAATAGGCAGAGTCAACCAACCCTAGTATTTCCCCATTCTCTTCCCTGCTGAATTCTAAGGTCACATTCATGCCATACATCTAAAGAGCTATGAGGCCACATTAAACAACCATGGCTTCCCCCAGGCTATTGTGTGAGTTGTGGTTTCTTAAGGGTGCTGAGATTTGTTAGGAGGCCCCTATTCCGCTCACAGAGGAACTCTGGGAATTGTAGCTCTTGGAAGGAACAACTTTCAGCGTCCTAAACTAACTACAGATCCTAGATTTCTTTGAGGGAAACCATGAAGAGGCATGAGTAAGAGTGGCAGGGAAGTGTGTATAGTGAGTACATTCAAAAGCGAATTATGCCCCAGAGATGATGGGAAAAGCAGTGCCAACAACAGCAGAAGGGCATTAGGCAGATTTCTTAGTAATGACCTGAGCAGTGTGCTGTCAACTTGTTTGCCCCTATATATTTACTAAGTAGAGACATCACCTTGCCAACAAAGGTCCGTATAGTTAAAGCTATGGTTTTCCCAGTAGTGATGTATGGAAGTGAGAGCTGGACCATAAAGAAGGCTGATCGCCAAAGAATTGATGCTTTTGAATTATGGTGCTGGAGGAGACTCTTGAGAGTCCCATGGACTGCAAGAAGATCAAACCTCTTCATTCTGAAGGAAATCAGTCCTGAGTGCTCACTGGAAGGACAGATCCTGAAGCTGAGGCTCCAATACTTTGGCCACCTCATGAGACAAGGAGACTCCCTGGAAAAGACCCTGATGTTGGGAAAGATTGAGGGCACGAGGAGAAGGGGACGACAGAGGACGAGATGGTTGGACAGTGTTCTTGAAGCTACCAGCATGAGTTTGACCAAACTGCGGGAGGCAGTGGAAGACAGGAGTGCCTGGCGTGCTCTGGTCCGTGGGGTCACGAAGAGTCGGACACGACTAAACGACTAAACAACAACAATTTACTAAGTAAAGAGGGATAGATAATGTTTTCTTTTAATTGGGAAACTAAAAACTTGGGGAGGATGGTTCAAATATTGCAGAGAGGTCCCTGCATAGTGCACCCCTGAGTGTCTCTCAGATCGTTTCCTTTTCTGCCGCCCCAACAGAGTGCTTGGACTGTTTGATTGGTCAGTGCTACCCTACCGCTGCCATATGACTTCTTGCTAAAAACAGTCTAGACTAGGAATGGGGCAGCTGTGTGTCACCAGATGTGGTCGAACTCCATCTCCTATCAGCTCCAGCCAGCATGGCCAACGGTCAGAGATGATGGGAATTGTAGTCCAGCAATATCTGGTGGGCCATGGGTTCTCCATCCCTGTTCTAGATCCTGCAAAAGCTCCAAATCTGATCCTAGATTCGGTGCGGAGTGCGGCACTATGTAAAATAAAACTTTCAGCTCTTTAGCTTACATACCTTTGAATTTGGGGGGTGCAAATGTGGAATTATTTTGGAGGCAAAGGGGCACAGAGAGCCAGGAGCAAAGAGCCTGGCTTATGGCCCAGTCAATGTTCAGACTCCTAGTATTCACCTGCCAGCGAGCCCTTTGTGAGCTAATTTTCTCTCTGCTGAATTGTGGCTCTTGAGTTTTATTTTCTCTCTCTCTCTCCAAGATTGCAAGTGAGCACACGTGTGGAGGTGGTTGTCTTTCTTTAATCACAGCACAGAGCATTTATAGGTTATTTACAGTAATGTTTTGTATCTTGAGTGAATGCTTTACTAATTATGGTAATAAAAAAGGCAATAAAAGGAACATTCCCCATGGAGGAATATATTTGGAGGCCTCGCCTGGTTCACTTGTAAGCAGAGCTATGATAGAAATCGCTCATCCACTCGGTGGGGTAAGAAATAAGGCTGTTAAGGAATAGGCTGCAATGGATTGAGGCGTGACATACAGAGTTTTACCATTTACGAGGCAGGCCCTGGTACTTATAAGAGACTGGGTGGTTGGAGAAGATAAGGGAAAACAGGCAGGTGGAGTTTGGTCTGAATTCTGCTTCAAGGGGTAGTTGGATAGGATGGTCAACCAGTTTCAGCTTGCAACTCCATGACCCCCTCCAAGTGCTTTAAACACCTGTATGGTGGGCAGAAATTCAACTGGTGATACTATTTCCTACCATGGAGCTGCAGCAATTGGGGAAAGTGATATCTGTTGCATTTCTCCCTATTGTATGCAGATGTTAAACCATTCTTCCAGAAAAAGTTAGCAAACCTTTACCTAATTAAAGGTAAAGGGACCCCTGACCGTTAGGTCCAGTCGTGACCGACTCTGGGGTTGCGGCGCTCATCTCACTTTACTGGCCGAGGGAGCCGGCGTTTGTCCGCAGACAGCTTTTGGGTCATGTGGCCAGCATGACTAAGCTGCTTCTGGCGAACCAGAGCAGTGCACGGAAATGCCGTTTACCTTCCTGCCGGAACGGTACCTATTTATCTACTTGCACTTTGATGTGCTTTTGAACTGCTAGGTTGGCAGGAGCAGGGACCGAGCAACGGGAGCTCACCCCATCGCGGGGATTCGAACTGCCGACCTTCTGATCGGCAAGTCCTAGGCTCTTTAACCCACAGCACCACCCGTATCCCCTTTTTACCTACTTAAGGTGTTTTAAATGACAAACTTTCTCACTTTCAGCTGTATGAACAAACTGAAATTCATTCACATCATAGCAAAACCTCAGTGAAGATGCTGTTATGAAATTTCTGAGACAAAGGATATGATTTATCTTAAGGTGAAACAAAGAACTACCAGCCATTGTTACAAGGCAAGACCATATTTAATAGTTTCTGTGTTTTCACATTGGGAAATATTTAGTAAACTTGTGTACTGCTTTTTTTATTTTAAAAACGCACATTTTCCCAAAGTGGTTTGTTTATAAGTCACAGGTCAGGCATAATAAAATACAATTTAACACCTTACAACATGAAAAGCCTTCAAAGCGTTATTTTAAAACACTGCTAAAAGTCAAGTGCTCCAGCACTAATTGAATATAATGTAAAAATATCCCGTTAAAGTAAAATGCTGGAGCCAAAATAGCTTTCGAAAAATCAAACCATCATGTTTCCCTGTCTTTCAACAGAGCACTTCAGTGGGTGATAAGAAACAGTTTCATTACATGCCGCCACGTTGCTGAAGCCAAGTGTTGGGAGTGTGCTTCCAGGGGTGTCTCCTGGCTTCTCAAGAAAAGACTCAGCCAAGTAAGTGGAGCAAGAACAGAATTTATTATATTCCACGTATGTGCAAATGCTCTAGCCATCCCTATTTACCTGGATACTCCCTGCATTCTAATACCTTTCAGGAAAATAGAAAGCTGCCTTCTGCAAGGTCAGACTATTTGCCCATTACAGTGGTACCTCGGGTTAAGAACTTTATTCGTTTTGGAGGTCTGTTCTTAACCTGAAACTGTTCTTAACCTGAAGCACCACTTTAGCTAATGGGGCCTCCTGCTGCTGCTGCGCCGTCGGAGCACAATTTCTGTTCTCATCCTGAAGCAAAGTTCTTAACCTGAAGCACTATTTCTGGGTTAGCGGAGTCTGTAACCTGAAGCGTATGTAACCTGAAGTGTATGTAACCCGAGGTACCACTGTATTCTATTATACTCTGGCTCTAATAATAATAATAATAATAATAATAATAATAATAATAATTTTTATTTATACCCCGCCCTCCCCAGCCAAGGCCGGGCTCAGAGCGGCTAGCAACAGTTCTTAAGCAGAGAGCCTTTTTAAAAATGTCCAGCATTGAACATGAGAAGCTTTGCCTGCAAAGCAAAGTACTCTTCCTCTGAACTATGGTCTCTTCTTCTCCTGAGCTATGGTCTCTTGCCTGTTCCAGGGAACCAGGCAGAGGGCCTTCTCAGTAGTGGCACCCTCCCTGTGGAATGCCCTCCCATCAGATGTCAAGGAAATAAACAACTATCTGACTTTTAGAAGATATCTGAAGGCAGACCTGTTTAGGGGAGTTTTTAGTGTTTGATTTTTATCTTGTTTTTTATATTCTGTTGGGAGCTGCCCAGAGCAGCTGGGGAAACCCAGCCAGATGGGCAGGGTATAAACAACAACAACAACAGCAACAACAATTATTATTATTCCTACCCAAACTTGCTTTGTTTTCTTGTGCAGGAATGCCCTATTAATTTATAGTTACTAGTGTTGTCGTTCTTCAGTGTATAGATTCCTGACCTCTTATCCAGGGTCTCTAGAAGTTTCATATGTGAGTGGGCAATGGAATGAATGCATCCACTGGCTAGTGCCCATAGCCAAAAACGCACAGGCTTGAGTTGTTAAGGTACCACTCAGGGTAAAAGGTAAAGGGATCCCTGACCATTAGGTCCAGTCGTGGATGACTCTGGGGTTGCGGCGCTCATCTCACTCTATAGGCTGAGGGAGCCGGTGTTTGTCCGCGGACAGCTTCCGGGTCATGTGGCCAGCATGACTAAGCCACTTCTGGCAAACCAGAGCAGTGCATGCAAACGCCGTTTACCTTCCCGCCGGAGTGGTACCTATTTATCTACTTGCACTTGACATGCTTTTGAACTGCTAGGTTGGCAGGAGCAGGGACCGAGCAACGGGAGCTCACACCGTTGCGGGGATTTGAACTGCCGATCTTCTGATCGGCAAGCCCTAGGCTCTGTGGTTTAACCCACAGCACCACCTGCGTCCCTTACCACTCAGGGTACAGCCTGCCATCTCACTTGTCAAAGCTGCCAAGGTCTTTAGGAAGAACTTTATGCTAATGTGCTTGTGATCCAGTGAGAAATTAGGCTGGCTTGATCTGCCTCCAAAGAACGCACATCCCCACCAGCGGAATGTGGGTATCTGTATCATAGCTGTATAGCCCATATCCCATGACTCAGCCATCCATTCTCCGGCCCAGCAATCATAGACTTGTAGAGTTGAAAGAAACCCTGAGGGTCATCTAGTCCAACCCTCCTGAAATGAAGGAATCTCAACTAAAGCATCCATAGCAGATGGCCATCCAACTTCTGCTTTTCTCATTTACCAGGCAGAGCTCCGATGAACTCCTCAGAGGCTCCCGTGAGCTTTTCCGAGGGTGATGGCTTGGCTGATCAGTTTCTCCGCATAGAGCGAGAGCAGGCCCTCCGCCTGAAGGAGCTCAGCTTCCTCGAGCCCGTCGAGTACGTTTACAACCCCTTGGAATACGCCTGGGAGCCCCACGAAGATTACGTGCATCGATACTGTCGGTTCCGCAAGGAGGTGCTGTTTCTTGGTATGAACCCAGGGCCTTTTGGAATGGCCCAGACTGGGGTAAGAAGGCAAGCCGAGGTGGGGGAGAGTAAGTTGAGCTTGACAGGATTTGGAACTTAATCTGCATCAGGGCTTCACCTTGTAAGCTCTTATTTAAGGCTGTGGGGCTCGGCCCTGGGCCACTTGTAATAATAGGGAAGCGAGGGCCTTTGAACGTGTTCAGGGTGCTGTTTTTATTACTTGGAGCAGCTGCAACAAGACTCCGGGCATCAGGGATTAGTGGGAAGGATATTCGGATAAGACTTCAAGGCCTAGTATGTGGATCGACTTTAACAAATAAATCAGGCCCATGTTTTTGGCTCCCCATCAAGTCAAGGGACTAGCTAAGTTTTCTGAGGTACAGTTTTCTGCTGGCCACATGACCCGGAAGCTGTACGCCAGCTCCCTCGGCCAATAAAGTAAGATGAGATGTCCGTGACTGGACCTAACAGTCAGGGGTCCCTTTACCTTTAAAGGACCCGTAACAGTTAAGTCCAGTTTCTAACAACTCTGGGGGTTGTGGCGTTCATCTCACTTTATTGGCTGAGGGAGCCGACGTTTGTCTGCAGACAGTTTTTCCGGGTCATGTGGCCGGCATGTCTAAGCCACTTCTAGCAAAACCAGAGCAGAGCACGGAAACGCCGTTTACCTTCCCACCGGAGTGGTACCTATTTATCTACTTGCACTTTGACATGCTTTCAAACTGCTAGGTTGGCAGGAGCTGGGACCAAGCAACGGGAGCTCACCCCGTTGTGGGGATTCGAACTGCCGACCTTCAGATCGGCAAGTCCTAGGCTCAGTGGTTTAACTCGCATTCCATGAGATTGAATTACCCACCCCTAATTGAGATCACGCCCTTCAGATTTAGACGAGTTACTGCTTCTGCTGTGCCTTCCCATAGCAGCTGCCCAAGTGGCAAAATCACAGCACTGTGGAAGCTCCATAAAGAAAGCATTCTAAAAGGGGTGTGTGTGTTTTTAAGAATGAAATGTGGCTCCAGATTTAACAAAAAACAGGTTAATGTATATGATAGCAGTGTCCCACACCGAATGTAACTGACCTGCAGAAAGGACTCTATGAATTAAAAACAGAGATGTTGTATGTACCCTTGCTATCTATGAAAATCTTTTAATAAAAACAAATTTTTAAAAAACACAGGTTGCATCCAGCGCTACACCTACTCAGAACAGACCCATTAAAATTAAAAGATATGACTAACTGAGGTTCATTAATTTTAATGGGTCTACTCGGAGTAGGACTAGCATTGGAGTGAAACCCAGTGCATTTTACGTGTTGCAGATTTGGGAAATGTATGGCTTCGAGTCCAGCAATGGCAGTGTAAGCACCTGGTGTGCTAAAGATTCTTATTGCAAACCACAGCAGCTAGATATAGGTATAACATAAAATCACAGCGGCTCTAACTTGTTTTGATGGTGGGGCCTCCAGGTTGCCTGTCTGTGAAAAGGAACTCAGTGCTGGCTAGATGATGGTGGGCGTTAATAAAATGACCCCATGTGCGAGCGAGGCTTCCTGGCCAGCTCTTGTGTGCGAACGAACTGCACGATTCCAGCGGAGATACTTCTCTGCTGAAGAACTCTTCCTTGTTATCTCTCTAGTTTCCTGCACGTGGCTTGGGCCTCGTGGGTGGAACTGGGGTGTCCTGACTTGTCCCATCGTAGCGGAGTCAACACCCAGACAAATAGCTTCGCGTCTGCTTTGATGCTGAGCCAGGAAAGGACAGGAGTAGGGAAATTGATAGGGTGGCAAAGTGCTTGCTGTGATATTGCGAAGACTTAGCTTAAACATGTATAGGTGGGTAGGTGTAAACTGACTGATTCTCTCCCCCCCCCCCCCGCGCGCGATGCTAGAAGCAGTTAGCTCTATGATGTGGATGTAGACACAACTTTGCTAAAGGGCAGCGGGTTGTGTGTGTAGGGGGGAAAGTTGTTTCTTTAACTTAAGCTATGATAACACAGGAATTAGTCTGGAGATCACAGTAAAACAACTGCTTCTGTTTCCTGTGGTCTGCCCACGCTGCAGACAAGCTGGTTTAATAAGTCATTCCTCTTCCTTCTGAGGAATCCTAGGAATTATAACTGGGGGGGGGGGGGGCTCTAGCAAAATCTTCAGCACCCTGAGACAAAGGTGCTGAAGATCAGACCATTGTTCCATCTAGCTCATAAGTTCCCAAAATTATTTGGCCTACCGCCCCCTTTTCAGGGGGGTGGGGAAGCACTCTGTGCCCCCCTGGAAATCTACCTTCTTTAAGTGAACAGACAAAAAGGTGCAGTGACAAATTTGCGTTCTTTTATGTATTTGTATTTCTACATACCTACATCCTACAGCATGGGTAGGCAAACTAAGGCCCGGGGGCCGGATCTAGCCCACTCACCTTCCAAATCCAGCCCGCAGACAATCCAGGAATCAGCATGTTTTTAGATGAGTAGAATGTGTGCTTTTATTTAAAATGCACCTCTGGGTTATTTGTGGGGCATAGGAATTCATGCATTTCCCCCCCAAAATATAGTCCGCCTCCCCACAAGGTCTGAGGGACAGTAGACTGGCCCCCTGCTGAAAAAGTTTTCTGACCCCTGTCCTACAGCATAGTTCTTGTAAATAAGACACCTTGAAGCTTCAAATTATAAAATTATTTATAGCTCAGTTGGTTAGAGCATGGTGTTGATAATGTCAAGGTTGCAGGTTCAATCCCCATATGGGACAGCTGCATATTCCTGCCTTGCAGCAGGTTGGACTAGATGGTCCTTAAGGTCCCTTCCAACTCTACAATTCTATGATTTCTATGAAAACCTATAGGCAGCCAGAGTGAAGCCTGTCCGCTCAGCCTGAACCACCGCAGGGTGGAAGTAACCACTGCTACATTGCCAAGTGCTGAGGAAGCTGTGGCATTTTTGTTTTTGGGGGACAGGAGGTGGGCCTGGTCCTGAATGGGGTAACTGTGCCCCTGAAGGACCAGATGCGCAGCCTGGGAGTCACAGGTCAATTCTGTGTCCAGGGCAGCTGTTTATCAGCTCCATCTGGTATGCAAGCTGAGACCCTATCTGCCTGCGGACTGTCTTGCCAGAGTGGTGCATGCTCTGGTTATCTACCGCTTGGACTACTGCAATGCGCTCTATGTGGGGAACCTTTGAAGGTGACCCAGAAACTACAACTAATCCAGAATGCGGCAGCTAGACTGGTGACTGGAAGCGGCCGCCAAGACCATATAACAACTGGTCTTGAAAGACCTACATTGGCTCCAAGTACGTTTCCAAGCAAAATTCAAAGTGTTGGTGCTGATCTTTAAAGCCCTAAACGGCCTCGGCCCAGTATAGCTGAAAGAGCGTCTCCAGCCCCATCGTTCAGCCCCGAGGTCCAGCTCCGAGGGCCTTCTGGCGGTTCCCTCACTGCAAGAAGTGAGGTTACAGGGAACCAGGCAGAGGGCCTTCTTGGTGGTGGCGCCCTCCCATCAGATGTCAAGGAAATAAACAACTATCTGACTTTTAGAAGACATCTGAAGGCAGCCCTGTTTAGGGAAGTTTTAAAGGTTTGATATTTTATTGCTTTTTTATTCTGTTGGGAGGAGCCCAGAGCGGCTGGGGAAACCCAGCCAGATGGATGGGGTATTATTATTATTATTAAATTGATGATGATGATGATAATAATAATAATAATAATAATAATAATAATAATAATAATAAAAATTTTATTTATATCCCGCCCTCCCCAGCCAAAGCTGGGCTCAGGGCGGCTAACAACGATGGTGAAGATGTACAAATGGTTTTTCAACATTTTATTTCTTCTTTCTTTATGCTTCTACCACTCCATTATTTTTAATCAACTCCTCCCAATTGCACCCAAGGCTACTACCTCCCCCCGGGATCATTCCAGCGCCCCCCAGGGGGCAATATCATCCACTTTGGAATCACTGATCTAGCTACATAATATCTACGCCGACTGACAGAGTCTCTCCAGGATGTTCAGAGAGGGGTTTTTCCTACTTCTACCTAGAGAGGCTGGGAAATTCTGCATGCTCTTTGAAAACTGAATTCAATCCCAAAGTCTTAGCATTCCAGTGGAGAGACCATGCACGGCGTTAGAAGCCCCATTCCGTGCTGCACACTTTCATTCTTATTTCCCTTTGGCCTGCCTTTTGAAAACCCAATCCATTTTGTGGCCTGTGTGAGCATTTAAATTTTATGGAGATCAGCGTCTGATAACGATAGATGGATTAGCCTCTCATCACGAAAGCTTATCCCACTCCCCTCCCCAAAGAAAAGATACCAGTAGACGCTTTTCAGAGCAGCAGCTGGGCTGAGCTGGAAAACAGGAGGAGAGGTCTGTATTTGGCTGGCCTGCACCGGAAGCTCCTGCCTCCCATCCAAGAAAAACTTTAATAAAAACAATTTAAAAGAGAAGAAGCCCCTGTCTCTGTTGTCCACAAAACTGTTGTTCACAATTAAGGCTTGCGAAGCAAAAGACTTCGCTGCACAGCCAGGTCCTCTGTAAGCTCATCTCACAGCCCTATATATGTTTACTACACAGAAGTAAGACTCATGGGATCAATTAAGTTTCACTCAGAGGAGTCTTGTTGAAACGTATGAACAGGACTAAGTTAGGTCCATTGATTTCAGTGTGTCTGCTCTGAGCAAAATCGAGTTGAAAACCACCCATGGTATAAGATCAGTTTTTCCCAACCTTGGGTCTCCAGCTGTTTTTGGACTACAATTCCTATCATCCTTGACCCACTGGTCTTGCTAGCTAGGGATGATGGGAGTTGTAGTCCAAAAACAGCTGGAGACCCAAGGTTGGGAAAAACTGCTTAGATGAATAATGATTCCCAAAACCCCATGAAACATCCATTTTTATTCATCTACCCTTGACTTTCCTACTTATTATTATTTATACAAGGCATAGGCACACTCGGCCCTCCAGATGTTTTGGGACTACAATTCCCATCATCCCTAGCTAAAAGGACCAGTTGTCAGGGATGATGGGAATTGTAGTCCCAAAACATATGGAGGGCCGAGTTTGCCTATGCCTGATTTATACAGTGGTACCTCAGTTTAAGAACAGCCCTGTTTACGAACTATTTGGTTTATGAACTCTGCAAAGCTGGAAGTAGTGTCCTGGTTTGGAAACTTTACCTCGGTCTAAGAACGGAAGCTGAACGGTGGAAGGGCACTGGCGGCAGGAGGCCTCGTTAGGGAAAGCGCGCCTCGGTTTAAGAACGGACTTTCAGAACAGATTAAGTTTGTAAACCGAGGTACCACTGTATATGGCATTTCTTCCAAAATGAATCTTACAGTGGCACAAGAACATAAAAGAGTCCTGCCAGAGGAGGCCAGAGGCCTATTTAGTCCAGCATCTTCTCACAGCAGCCAATCTGATGCCTATGGGAATCTTGCTAGCAGGACCTGAATGCAACAGCTTCCCCAATTGTGATTTCCAGCAGCTGTTATTCAGAAGCTTACTGCCTCTGGCATATGTAGTCTTCACAGGTACTAATTAGACCTAGACCTCTTCTTAGGTGATCTTGAGCAGCTATGCAAGGAAATAATTGTGGTACCCCCATGGAGTAATCTGGATTCTCTCTGTGGTGAAGATCCCTAGTAGAGGTTTCACCATGAAGCTGTCTTCTTCTTTGTCACTGAGGAGGAATGGTGGGAGCCTCCCCTTCCCCCTGCTCCTGCTCCTAAATCTTCCCAGGAGCAAGAGGACAATATAGATTTCGAACAGTGGTTTGCAGAGGGACATAGTTCAGAAGGCAGAAGCTGGGAAATATTGGATGGGGAACAGCTAGGAGAAGAAACACTGGAAGAGAGAGGGTTAACAGTTTCACAGTCTCTGGACAACATTCCTCCACTCAGCCCAAGGTCAAGAAGAGCTCAGAAAGTGTCAGAACAGAAAGCACAGAGGATACAAACTCAGATTACAAAACGTAGGAGTGACGTAGATTAATAGGGATGGAAGGGAGTGGAATCCTTAATTGGGAGCACCGCCATTTCTAGGAGATGTGTTCTTTGTTCTCTTGCTGTGATTATTAAAGTTTCTAACTGGTAAGATTACCCGAAGCCTGACATCCGCCTAGTCTTGGGGCTACTTGCTAAGGACGTTGTATTTTAACTTGTTTACTTCCCTCCTCTCTGAAATAGATTAATTTGGGGCGCCTTTTCTGACAAATTGGGAGTCCCACAGAAATCCCAAAGCAAATGCAGATCTGTCAAATCCTATGGAGTCAGACTCTTTCCCATCAGATCCTGATTTCCATGTGATGGTTCTTGCTCCCTTGTAGGTGCCCTTTGGAGAGGTGCAGCTGGTCCGAGACTGGCTCCAGGTCCGTGGGCAGGTGTCCAAGCCACCAAGGGAGCACCCCAAGAGACCTATCCGGGGCCTGGAATGCCCCCAGACGGAGGTGAGCGGCGCCCGCTTCTGGGGCTTCTTCCGCTCCTTGTGCGCCAGGCCTGAGGTGTTCTTCCGCCACTGTTTTGTTCACAACCACTGCCCGCTTCTCTTTCTTAGTCACAGCGGACGCAACTTGACTCCGGCCGACCTGCCGGCCGCCAAGCGTGAACAGCTCCTGCAGGTCTGTGACGACGCTCTGTGCGAAGCCGCCAAGCTCTTGGGCGTCAACATGGTGATTGGCGTGGGGCGCTTTGCTGAGCAGCGCGCCCGCAAGGCCCTGTCGGCTGCTGGGATCCCAGTGCGAGTCGAGGGGGTGATGCACCCATCACCTCGCAACCCCCAGGCCAACAAGGGCTGGGATGCCATCATCCGAGCAAAACTGGAGGAACTCGGTGTGCTGGCTCTCCTTGTGGAATGATTGCTTGCGGAACCTCAGTTGCCCTTGGGTGTCTTGGCCTCACATGCCAATCACATTGGATGTGCCAATGACTCTGGACTCATTTTTCATAGACCAGCCCAGGCTTGGGCTACGAAAGCTACTATTCTATCGTTGGGTTGACACTACCATTTTTTAACACTACTCTTTCTTGTGCTCCTGAGATATACTCATAATTCACTTCTTCAGGTTTTTCTGGAGCCCCTTGTTGAGTCTTTCCTGGAATTTGGGTTTCCATTTCATCTCCATGTATTGGTGCTAAACTTCATCTGGGGTGATATCTGGCAGATCTTGTAGCAGCAGCTGCCACTCTGCTAGGTGCTTCTGGCTCCTGCTGGCTTCTCCATGATCAAACTCATGTTAGACATTGAAGTGGGGAGTTTTGGCCCATGGTGTTCAGTCTGGCTTTTTGCCAAACCTCTGTTCTTTGTGGGGGAGGCATGTTAACATATTAAGGTGTCTTAATAACCATTGGCTTAACTAGCCACCGTGATGCCCTCCACATGCTTTGGACTACAATTCCCAGCATCCCTGACCATTGGCCATTTTGAATGCGACTGATGGGAATCAGACTCCAACAACACTTTACAGGGTACTACGTTGGCTACTCCTGATCTAGCCCATTGGTCAAAACCTGATCTAAGGTGGGTCTCAACACCAGCACTACCTCCATACACGCATTATAAAAACATGTACCATAATTTTCGCTCTATAAGACGCACCAGACCATAAAACGCACCTAGTTTGTGGAGGAGGAAAACAAGAAAAAAAATATTCTGAATCCCAGAAGCCAGAACAGCAAGAGGGATCACTACACAGTGAAAGCAGCGATCCCTCTTGCTGTTCTGGCTTCTGGGATAGCTGCGCAGCCTGCATTCGCTTCATAAGACACACACACATTTCCCCTTGCTTTTTAGGAGGGAAAAAGTGAGTCTTATAGAGCGAAAAATACGGTATATAATGAATAGGTCCCCAAACACATGTTTGCGTTAAAGGTGGGTCCCGTGCTGGAAAAGGCTGTGGACAACTGGTCAAGCCCCCTTTTGCTTACTCTGTGTACAGTGGTACCCCGCAAGACGAACGCCTCGCAAGACGGAAAACCCGCTAGACGAAAGGGTTTTCCGTTTTGGAGGCGCTTCGCAAAACGAATTTCCCTATGGGCTTGCTTCGCAAGACGACAGCCCATAGGAAATCTCAGGGACAGCGGGGAAGCGCAGCGCGTCTTCCCACTGTCCTCGGACCTCCTCCGAAGCCTGGCGGCGGGGCGGGGACACCTCCTCCCGCCGCCGCCGGGCTCGGAAGGCTCCTCCGGCCGGGCGGGGGGAGGGAACACCTGCCGCCGCCGCCCGGCCCGGGACGGTGCTCCGGCCGGGCGGGGGGAGGGAAGACCTCGCCGCCTCTGCCCGGCTCCGGAGCGGTGCTCCGAGCCGGGCGGTGGGGAGGAAGACCTCCCGCCGCCGCCCGGCCCGGAACGGTGCTCCGGCCGGGCGGTGGGGAGGGAAGACCTCCCCGCCGCCCGGCCCGGAACGGTGCTCCGAGCCGGGCGGGGAGGGAACACCTCCGCCGCCGCCCGGCTCGGAACGGTGCTCCGAGCCGGGCGGGGGAGGGAGACCTCCGCCGCCGCCCGGCTCGGAACGGTGCTCCGAGCCGGGCGGGGGAGGGAAGACCTTCTGAAGGCGGGCGGGGGCGAAAGTCTTGCTCCCCCTGCCTGCCTGTCCCGGAGGGCTTTTGAAGGCGGGGGAGCAAGACTTCGCCCCCGCCCGCCTTCAGAAGAGGTCCAGGACCTCTTCTGAAGGCTGGCGGGGGCAAAGTCTTTGTCCCCTGCCTGCCTTCCCAGGGGCTTTTAAATTGCCCCGGACAGCGGAGAAGTCCTCCGCTGTCCCGGGTGATTTTAAAATGCCGCCCGCCAGCATTTTAAGATCGCCCGGACAGCGGAGAAGTCCTCCGCTGTCCCGGGGTTTTAAAATGCTGGGGGTGGGAAGAAAAGCCCTGCTCCCCCCAGCCTTCAGAAGAGGTCCGGGGACAGACAGTCCCCGGACCTGGTCTGAAGGCGGTTTACCAAGGAACGCATTAATTGATTTTCAATGCATTCCTAAGGGAAACCGTGCATCGCAAGACGAAAAACTCGCAAGACGAAGAGACTTGCGGAACGAATTAATTTCGTCTTGCGAGGCACCACTGTAGTTCTCTTAAGTTCAAGACCTGCCACCTGAGTGGACCTGTAGGAGAATTGCATGCAAAATCTTCCTTATGGCGGACGTGCCCTGTCACTGAGCTACAGCCCTCAGAGTTCAGGTAAATCAAGCAGGTGGCAATCAAAGTGGTCTAGGCACTTCTGCAATGTGGGGGTTGCCTCCCCATAGCTGCTTCCCGGGCAGCTTCAACTGGGGTGTGCACCCCCAAAAGAAGTCACGGGGCCTGCTCATGGGCAGAGCGTATGGAAACACCGCACACTCTCCTCTCTCTGCCAGAGCTGCTGGGCCGGAGAGGGTGGCCCAGGGATGGAGGTGCATGGCTGGCAGCCGCTCTCCGCTGTGGCAGAGCTGCACGTGGCATAGCTGAGGAGAAGGGTGGCAGATGCTCCACTCCACTCCCACGTCCTGCAGTTGGGTACGAGGAAGATGGGAGCCTCTTGTGGGGGTGCCTAGTCACTCCCCCTCCAGAAAATGCGCTCGGGGGGCACAGCACATGCAGCCCTCCCCACACTGCAGCCCTGGTCCTGTACAGCATGTTTTGGTCCTTAGGGGTATATGTGCATGTTAGCCAAAATCTTTGCCATGAATTCACACCAGGGTAAGAAGCGACTGGCCCCTAGGATGGGTGTGGCCCATGGGGCCTCTTCTCTTTTAGTCTTAAATGAGAACTAGGTCTGTACAAAGCAGCTTCATATGCTCATAAGTCATTTCTGGTCCAGCTGATTTAATCAGTTTTTTTTTAATTTTAAAAATTGGCATTAATTTCAGCTTATTCCTTTGGGTTCCCTCCCACCTCTGTTAGGTTTCCATAACCAAACACAAAATTGGGAACCTTTGCTTCCTGTTTATATCCAATGCTAGCAGATATTTTGAACTAGGTTGAAACCACTGTGGCTTTCCTTTGAGGAGTAAGAATTGCAGGCAATTCACAGCCGCAAGGGAGAGCTCTCCCTTAAAACCAGTTGTCTGGATCTTCTGCTTAATGCTGATTGTTCACTTCTTTTGAATCCACATTGCTTCTGGTGTGTGATAAGAGAATATTCTGCATTCCATAACCTTCTCTGATGGAAAGAGAAAATATCAAAGTTGGCGCTGCCTTTGAACACTGAGCATTTATGTTTTTGTTGATTAAATTGTAAGTTACCACACACTCCAGGAAAGGTATGCACGTCCTTTAGCAAACTTAAGAATATGTCAGAGGGTTGGCAGTATGCAAAATTTATTAAATGTAACTTGAATTTTGGAGATAAATTCCAGAGTTTAGCTGTGTAATGTGTGAAAATGTACTGTCTTTTGTCTGTCTTGAATCTTCCATTATTAAGCTTCATTGAATGTCTACGAGTTCCAGAGAAATGTTTTCTCTGTCAACTTCTTGCACATCTTATGCACATATTTCATGTTCCCTCACCCCCACCTCTCCTTTTTTCTGAACTAAAAAGCCCTGAATGTTGTAGACTTTTCTGAATTGTTCCACCTCTTTGATCATTTTAGTTCTCCGTTTCTGAACCTGCAATATCCTTTTTGAGCTGAGGCAACCAGAACTGTTCATAGTATTCCAAGTGTGATTGTACCATAGATTTTCAAAAACAATTACCATATTTTCCCCTCTATAGGACACACTTTCCCCCCTCCAAAAATGAAGGGGAAATGTGTGTGCGTCCTATGGAGCGAATGCAGGCTCCTTGGCTTCAGCGATAGCAACGTGAAGCCTCCAAAGCGCAGAGGAAGCGCTCCCTCTGCGCTCCGGAGGCTACGCGTTGCTTTCGCTGAAGCCTGGAGAGCGAGAGGGGTCGCCTGAAGCCTTTGGAGTGCAGCGGGAACTTGCGCTGTGCTCCGCAGGCTTCGGGTTCCTTTTGCTGAAGCCGGGAGAGCAAGACTCTCCTGGCTTCAGTGAAAGGAACCCAAAGCCCAAAGCCTTTGGAGTGCCTTTGGAGCACAGCGGGAACTTGCGCTGTGCTCCAAAGGCTTCGCAACCTTGCCGCCTCTCCTGGACCCGCCGCTAAAAACGAAGCCAAGACAGCAAGCGGGATCCATCCCTTTTTCCTTTATTTAAAATTTAATGATACTATGTTGTAACAATATGCAGCAAAATCTATTATATCTCATGCAAAAGAAAAAAACAAGGAAATTACATATGAAGAAGAGAGAGAGACAACAAAACTATAATACCTTGAAGAAATTAAAAGGAAAAATATCACTTACTTTGTTAACTCCCGAACTGTAAAAACAAGGCGCACCTCTCAATAAAAAAACATTTTCTTGATTATTAAGTATTGCATTTCTCTTGTATGGAAGTAAGATAGTTTCCTTAAGATAGTTTGCCAAGTTTTGCTTAACCAATCAGTTATGGTAAAGGTAAAGGGACCCCTGACCATTAGGTCCAGTCGTGGCCGACTCTGGGGTTGCGGTGCTCATCTTGCTTTACTGACCAAGGGAGCCGGCGTACAGCTTCCGGGTCATGTGGCCAGCATGACTAAGCCGCTTCTGGCGAACCAGAGCAGCGCACGGAAACGCTGTTTACCTCCCCGCCGGAGCGGTACCTATTTATCTACTTGCACTTTGACGCGCTTTTGAACTGCTAGGTTGGCAGGAGCAGGGACCGAGCAACGGGAGCTCACCCTGTCGCGGGGATTCGAACCGCCAACCTTCTGATCGGCAAGCCCTAGGCTCTGTGGTTTAACCCACAGCACCACCCGTGTCCCTACCAGTTATGGCAGGAGGATCTTTATTTTTCCATTTTTGTGCAATACCCTGTTTTGCTGTTCTTAGCACTGCAGTAATTGGTTG